GCCCCTAATGACCAGTCGCCACTGTGTGTGTATATGTGTACATGTGTATATGTGTAGATGTGTACATGTGTGTATATGTGTACATGTGTATATGTGTAGATGTGTATACTGTATGTGTGTACGTGTGTATATGTGTATACTGTATGTGTAGATGTGTAGATGTGTATACGTGTGTAGATGTGTATATGTGTATACTGTATGTGTAGATGTGTAGATGTGTAGATGTGTGTGTAGATGTGTAGATGTGTGTAGATGTGTAGATGTGTGTGTAGATGTGTAGATGTGTAGATGTGTGTGTAGATGTGTGTGTAGATGTGTAGATGTATGTGTGTATGTGTGTACGTGTGTATATGTGTATACTGTATGTGTAGATGTGTAGATGTGTAGATGTGTGTATATGTGTATACTGTATGTGTAGATGTGTAGATGTGTAGATGTGTAGATGTGTGTATACTGTATGTGTAGATGTGTATACTGTATGTGTGTATGTGTGTACGTGTGTATATGTGTATACTGTATGTGTAGATGTGTAGATGTGTAGATGTGTGTATATGTGTATACTGTATGTGTAGATGTGTAGATGTGTAGATGTGTGTGTAGATGTGTATATGTGTATACTGTATGTGTAGATGTGTAGATGTGTATACGTGTATGTGTAGATGTGTAGATGTGTGTAGATGTGTATACGTGTATATAGAATGTGGTTTATCCGTGTGAGTATTCAATGACTGAATGATCTTGTATTTCTTTACCCTGCACCAGAATGACTAACAGGAGCTCTGCTTTCTGCTCTCCTGCTTCTACTCATTGTGTGTTTCTCAGATGTATAAACTGTCTAATAGTTGAAATAGTAGAATACATCAAAGAAAGCAGACAGTGTGATATAAGGTAGTAATGTTCTCACGTTGTGTCAGTTCTGGAGAGCAGCTCGGTGTCGCTGTTCATCCCGGGGAAGAAGTACGGAGAAGATGCCGATCAGCAGATCTCCTTCCCGGTTCTCTGCAGCTTCTGGGCTCTCGCCGACCAATCAGACGCCTCCAAACGGAGCCTGAGGGCCGACGCTGTGCTGGGAACTGTGGTGGGTTCAAAGGTCACTCAGGTTTAGATCATTCAACACCAGTTTGGGAAAATAAATAGTGTTTTGTCAGTGAAACTTAAGCTTGTTTGGTAGAAGTGAGTTAATCGGGCCTCATTCACAACACTCTCCTAAATGTTCTCCTAAATGTGTTCTTGTGAAAGGTCCCAAGAAAGCCCTCCTAAACTGCAGGTTGCAGCCGTGTTCCTGTACGGATGAATCAAAAGTCACTCATGTTTAGATCCCTTAGGAACCACACATGTTTTGCACAAACATAGCTACACTCAAATGTGTGTTCTCTCGAGTAGATTCCTTTCTTTAGAACAATTCAATATAAGAAAACAATGTATTGATTCTCAGAAGATTTGAGCAAACGTTGTCTGTTGTTGAAGAAGCTGCTGAGCGAGGCCCACTTCACTGAACTCATGTTTGTAGAGTAAAGAGAAAACAGGAAGTGCCCTTCCCTGACAAAATGACATCAGATCAGAGGATAATGAGAGCTGTTTCTTACAGGGCGGGGAAAGGGTGTAAATAGACTTCATAACTGTCAAAGACTACTTTGTATTCAGGTGGCTTTCTGAGTCTCATGACGTGTCTCTGAAGCCGCTCTCTCTTTGGCAGGATTTGGGTCCGGTGTCCTCTCAGCTGGCGGACGCGTTCGGTCTGATTCTGCAGTGTCGAGATGTCGGGGGGGAACAGCCTCTGCACACCCTGCAGCAAGCAGTGCATTCTGGGAAACCCCTGTACCCCTCCTGCTGGGACTTCACCACTCAGGACTACCAGGAGGTATGCATCATACTAAAAGGCTGGATTTGGACCCTTTTTAAAGCCGGTCTTGTTCACAGTATGCCCCTGCTGTACGGACGTTGTTGGTATTATAGTAGCAGAGGTTCAACTTCTAAAATTAGAAAGTTATACCCATGTCAAGATCTATGCCTTTGCATTTATACAGCCAATACTATTTAGAAATGTACATTTAAGAAGCCAAATGCCCCTAACTCAAGGGTAACATTACACTCTGTAATACTCTTGAATGTCCTGTCTCCAGCTGCTGAATCACGCTCAGGGTTTGAGAGTGGAGATGAGTCCTGGAGCAGAGAAGATCATCCATGGATACTACATGGCCAGCAGGAGAGTCCGTACTCAGAGTCAGGGAGTCAAGATCTCTGTGGCCTCCATCAAACTACTGTAAGAGTTACATAACAGAGAGAACATCCCATAGAGGGTGTGAAGTCACAGTCCAGTGTAATACCACCTCTATCCACCAGGTGGAGCTCTTTAATGACTATTTTTCATCTGGTCAAATGTTTACAAATCTGTTTCTCTGTGGTGACGGAGTAATGTGAAACTCTGTCACATTAAGCTTTAAATCTCTAAACATGTACATGCTCCTGATTTAAACAGCTTCAACTCTCCCTGACTTTATACACTTTCACATTATTTAATTATAAAACTACTCATTCATGTATACATTATGTTTTCATGTTTATTTTCTCTATGATCGGCTCCTGATTGAATTGCTTGAATAATCCTAACGCTATACAATTTCACAGATTAACCAATTATAAGTCCTCCTAGGGCAATCATTCACTTACACATGATTATTTGTGTTTCTCTGTGGTGACAGATTAATGTGAAATGGTCTCAAAATGTCACATGATCTGCACCTGTTTTAATTGCTTCAACTCTCCCCAGCTGTATACACTTTCACATTACTTAATTATAAAAACTATCATTCACTTATAAATACGTGTGTTTTGTAGGATCTCTCTGTCTGAAGCTCACTGTAAGCTGAGTCTCAGAGCGAGAGTTGAGGAAGAAGACGCTGTGATGGCCGTGCTGCTCTGTGAGAACTCAGTCACTCTCAAACACGGTACCTTTCTGATTAAACAGTACATTCAAACCGTTATGCACACATGTACAGACAAGGTGCACAATAGGGGGCTATAGCTCGTTTAGAGATATGAAACTGGCTCAAAAAGCGTCTCTTCACGACACGTTTGAAATTTGAATTTGCTCATACTTGACATCGCTATTAAATTCATTTTTGTATATTGTTTGTTTTCTGTAAAATAGTGAATTTAACCACTTAGGCTTAAAATGTGTTTTCTGCTTCAGTCTTGCCTGCATATCAGTTATCTGTATTATTTCATGTTATCATAAACATTTTAAACGGTGGAAATAGTTTCCTACCATTTAAGAAAAGGCACATTACACAAGATTGTATAAGTGTGCACTCCTTATCACCTTAGTAACACTAAGTATATGAATTCAGAATTACCCTAGTTCACTGTGACTTTTATGCTATCTTTATCAATTTTAACCACCTCATAAATATATGCATAATATAAGCTTTCCCCATTACTCTACTGTCGTTTTTTCCCGTGACCATGCAACAATTATTAAGCACCAGGGGTTTCAAACTCAATATGTCATTTGATGTGGCCCGTCAGAGAAAGAATATAAGTTTATTATATTCCACTTTACAGAAGCACATTGCCCATAAACTACATGTCCCACAATGCATCTCATTTTGTGACATGCACACTGAAGAGACTTGCAGTTATTTGCCCTTCTGCTTTCAGACATTATGAAGTGATTACCCTATCCCATAATAATCCAATGCAGAGGCCATCATGTCATATAATACCTTACATATATATACATATATATATTTAGATAGTCTTAAAGTTACAACTGGCCCTTTGAGTGCAACCATGCGGATGTTGCCCCGCGATGAAATTGAGTTTGACCCCCCCTTCATCTGATATTTTATGCCAACGTTATACATTTTTAACCCGTATAAAGATACAGTAAAAACAGCTTCTCACATTATTCTGCTGCATTGTTTTTCCTGACCTGGCAACAATTATTTTTAAGCACCATAGAGGGCCTAAACAAACTATTAATCTAAGTATATATATTTATCTTTTCTCCAGGAGCCTCAGCACTCATTATTCCCCCAGAATCTGTGTTTCCCTGCGACCTGAAAGACGTGGACGGTTTGCAGCGGAGAGACGACATCCTGGAGGATCTGCAGCAGAACATCCTGAGATTTATTTACACCTACGCATCTGGAGCTGGATCCTACATCACCGAGGAGTAAAACCTCCAATCCAGAGGGTCAAAGCACAGGTAGGGAGATCATAATGAACTTTAATATGTACGTCAAGTCATAGTTAGACACCGTACGTCCAAAATACATTCAGGGAAACACCGAGTCTGCCTGTCAAAACACAATCCCTCCTTTTATTCTAACCCTACCCGCCCTCTCCTCTCAAGCCATTACTAATGTCTCGTCAGATGTGACAAGGCGGCTCTCTAAAAGAGGCGAGCAAACCAAAAGAGATTGTTTTGAGGAAGCGGAGACGCTGACGGACGGCGCGATAACTCTCTATTGGCTGCTCGACCCGTTGGATCGCTGTTTCTCTGCTGAGAGCAGCGCTAGGAAATGTAAACTGAAGTATAGTCAGGGAAGAAAGCATAAAGACCCGGCCTGGACTTTGTACTCAGACCCGACGACACGAAGCCGGGTAATCTGTGGTTGGTGAACTGAAACGATATGTGGATTATTGTTTTGGAATAACCGTGGACTGACAAAGAAAACCTGGAACGGAGTTTTGTTGATTATATTATTGGACTATTTTTTTATGAACTATTAAATGTCACTGTTCTTGAACTATTGAATATATTATTAGTCTGCATTTAAAGATATGGGTTTTGTGTTTTTGTTCAACAGTATTCATTTACTATTGAAAATACAGAAACCTTGTACGGGTTAAGAGGAGCATGTGCTGGATGTACCCTTCGTAGGGTTTGGCTGGATCTGAACTATAAATGGTCTGACTGGCACCCAGCAACTATAGCCAAACCGCTAATGAAAAAGTGGCACCCCCCAAAAAAAAAAAAACACGTTGGACATCTCTAAGGAGGGATGAAGAGAATCTTTATTAATGGAAACACAAATGAACTGTTCAGCGGATGACCAATGGCTTCGGAGAGGGAACGGATTATCGGGGAGAATTTGGATCTCTCAGGAAACGCTGGCCTCTGGGGATGATGGAGCTCATGGCACCCACACTACTGAAGTGGATCATTATCCAGCATCTTCTGATCAGCATCTTCTGATCAGCATCTTCTGATCAGCATCTTCTGATCAGCATCTTCTGATCAGCATCTTCTGATCAGCATCTTCACAACTTCTGCAGCATCTGAAGGAGAAACAGGACTTGGATTAATATCCACACATTTGATCGATAAATTGTGAGGGAGTTTATGAAGCTGGAGATTCAGTTAGTCACAGTATCACCATCTTGTCGTCTGATGGGTAAACGGCATGTTTGGTAGAAATCATCACTTTTCCAGCTGCTAGAGCTCAACTAGAAAACACTTTGGAGAAGCTCTGCATTATTTATGAACTCACCTCCTGATCAGGCGTTGTTTTCATGACCGCAGCTCAACTTCTGGAGCATCTGAAGGAGAAACAAGACTTGGATTAATAAACAAATGTACTCTTAACAGTCGAGAATTATTTGACTAAGCTGGAGATTCAGTTAGTCACAGTATCACCATCTTGGTGTCTGATGGGTAAACGGCATGTTTGGTAGAAATCATCACTTCTCCAGCTGCTAGAGCTCAACTTAAGAAATAAGTACGTTTGACTTGCATACATTTATGCAATTTTAATAACCAGGGTTGGAAATGCGTAGACTAGGAAGTTCAGTTCAAATTAAACAAAACTATTGGAGAAGCTCCAGATTATTTCTGAACTCACCTCTTGATCAGCAGACGGAGGATTGACAGAACATCTGAGGGAGAAACAAGACTGAGATTAATAACAAAACATAGCTCTTCCAGTCCTGAATGATTTGATGAAGCTGGAGATTCAGTTAGTCACAGGATCACCATCTTGGTGTCTGATGGGTAAACGGCATGTTTGGTAGAAATCATCACTTTCCCAGCTGCAGCAGATGCCTTTGCTCATCTAGGAATATTAAATTAGAAAAGATTTGAGAGGCTCTGCCTCATTTATGAACTCACCTCCTGACCAGGTGCTTTTTCTCAGGACCGCAGCACGACTTCTGAAGCACCTGAAGGAGAAACAAGACTGAGATTAACAACCATAAACTAGATTTAATGTCCCGATTTCTGTTTGCAGGCTGGAGATTCAGTTAGTCACAGTCTCACCATCTTGGTGTCTGATGGGTAAACGGCATGTTTGTAAGAAATCATCACTTCTCCAGCACTAAGAGTTGCTATAGCTCAACTTAAGAAATAAGTACTTTAGACTTGCATACGTTTATGCAATTTTAATAACCAGGGTTAGAAATGATTTCCTTAAACTAGGAAGTCTATCAAATTAAACAAAACTTTGAACTCACCTCCTGATCAGGTGATTTTCTCAGGACCGCAGCACGACTTCTGACGCCACTGAAGTAAAAAGAAGACTGATATTAACAACCATAAACTAGATTTAATGTCCCGATTTCTGTTTGGAGGCTGGAGATTCAGTTAGTCACAGTATCACCATCTTGGTGTCTGATGGGTAAACGGCATGTTTGTAAGAAATCATCACTTCTCCAGCTGCTAGAGTTGCCTTCGCTCGTCTAGAACATTCATTTAGAACTCATTTGAGAAGCTCCACATTATTTATGAATCACCTCCTGATCAGGCGTTGTTTTCATGACCGCAGCTCGACTTCTGGAGCATCTGAAGGAGAAACAGGACTTGGATTAATAAACAAATGTACTCTTAACAGTCCTGAGGGAGTTCATGAAGCTGGAGATTCAGTTAGTCACAGTATCACCATCTTGTCGTCTGATGGGTAAACGGCATGTTTGGTAGAAATCATCACTTTTCCAGCTGCAGAAATTACTATAGCTCATTTTAAGAATAAAGTACGTTTGACTTGCATAAGTTAATGCTATTTAAATAACCAGGGTTGGAAATGCTTTCCTTAAACTAGGAAGCCCAGTTTACATCCAATTAAACAGAACTATTTATGAACTCACCTCTTGATCAGATGCTTTTCTCATGACTGGAGCTCGACTTCTGCAGCATCTGAAGGAGAAACAGGACAGATTAATATCCACAACTTTGATCTCAAAGTCCTGATTTCTCTTTTAAAAAGCTGGAGATTCAGTTAGTCACAGTATCACCATCTTGGTGTCTGATGGGTAAACGGCATGTTTGTAAGAAATCATCACTTCTCCAGCTGCTAGAGTTGCTATAGCTCAACTTTTGACTTGCATACGTTTATGCAATTAAATAACCAGGGTTGGAAATGCTTTCCTTAAACTAGCAAGCCAAGTTTACATCCAATTAAACAAAACTATTGGAGAAGCTCCAGATTATTTCTGAACTCACCTCCTGATCAGCAGACGGAGGATTGACAGAACATCTGAGGGAGAAACAAGACTGAGATTAATAACAAAACATTTGGTCTAAAAGACGAGAATTATGTTACTACGCTGGAGATTCAGTTAGTCACAGTCTCACCATCTTGGTGTCTGATGGGTAAACGGCATGTTTGTAAGAAATCATCACTTTTCCAGCTACAGAAATTACTATAGCTCAATTATAACAATGATTTGAAAAGCTCCACATTATTGATAAACTCACCTCCTGATCAGGTGCTTTTCTCATGACTGCAGCTCGACTTCTGCAGCACCTGAGGGAGAAACAAGACTTCTATTAAGAAACAAAGTCACTCTCAACTGTCCTGAAAGATGTTACTACGCTGGAGATTCAGTTAGTCACAGTCTCACCATCTTGGTGTCTGATGGGTAAACGGCATGTTTGGTAGAAATCATCACTTTTCCAGCTGCAGCTCAAATAAAGTGTCAAATACTCCAGACTCACCTTCATCAATCACAGCCATCTGCATGTGCACACCTGAAGAGAAAAGACAACAGATTAATACATGTGTCTCTCCTCGTATTGAAGCAGGCGGATTCATGCCTGGATAAATGGGAACATGACTGCAGATGGAAAAAGGCAATAGATCTGTCATTCAGAAATATAGAATATGGATCGACCCGGTCCGATATGTGTCACAGTAACTTTCCAGAGCTCCTTAATAATGACTCTCAGGAGTGACGTATTGATTTGCGGCCGGCATGAATAATCTGTAGTTTAGAAGCAGCCGATATGATGATGGATCACTGGAGGGGTCAGAGGTCACAGTGAAACACAGCCTGGCAGCATGCAGGTTCAACAGCAGGTCACGACCTCTAACATGACCTCTGATTCACTGAGGACGTCTATCTTTAAACCTGTCTGAGGGTGATTTATGTGTTTCTGCAGAGACCAGAGATACCTGTCCACAGAGAGTCTATCATGAGAGGTAGCTTCAAATATAAAACAGATCATTCAGAATATTCCATTCCTTACATACTTGTATAAGATCAGACTGTATTGATCCCAAAGCAGCACAAAAAGACATGGCATTGTACAATAGAAAGGTATTATATTTACATAAGTATGTGAGAGATGGAATAACTTGCTTTATATTTGTTATAGTACATTTGTAATTCAACATGTATTTTTTCTACCTTTTTATTTTCTATCTGAGATGTTGAGAGTCTGAGCTCTGAGAGTCTGAGCTCTGCCTGTGGGCCATGAGCTCTGCCTGCGGGCCATGAGCTCTGCCTGCGGGCCAGGAGCTCTGCCTGTGGGCCAGGACCTCTGCCTGTGGGCCAGGACCTCTGCCTGTGGGCCAGGACCTCTGCCTGCGGGCCATGAGCTCTGCCTGCGGGCCATGAGCTCTGCCTGCGGGCCATGAGCTCTGCCTGCGGGCCATGAGCTCTGCCTGTGGGCCAGGAGCTCTGCCTGTGGGCCAGGAGCTCTGCCTGTGGGCCAGGACCTCTGCCTGTGGGCCAGGACCTCTGCCTGTGGGCCAGGACCTCTGCCTGTGGGCCAGAGGCACTGAGGACGTCTCTATCTTTAAACCTGTCAGGGATGATTTATGGGTTCCTGCAGGGACCAAAGAGAATAGATTGGGATGAACCCCTCTTTCACACGCAGTGACATGTGGTCTCTGCTTTTAACCCATCCTAGTACCAGGAGTGGGAGTGGGGGGGAAGGGGGTGTCCGGTGCCTTGCTCAAGGGCACCACGGCAGGGCAGGAAGTGAACTGGGACCTCTCCAAGTCCCCCCGCCATATCTGTTCGGGGACTTGAACCGGCGACCCTACGGCTCAGTCCCCTACTGACTGAGCCACTGCCGGACATCTACCCGTCTCGAATAAGCTGTGTTTCAAATATAAAATACGTCCTCCACAAAGTAAGATTTAGGATATTTTCTTCACATTAACTCTGATGACAAACATTCAAATGTACCACGTCAAAAATGTCATTATCACTTTCAATGGAGTTCAATTAAATAAATAAAAAGGTAGTTTATTGACATGTGAGGTAATTAAAAAGGCTGTAAAACCTTAGTTACTTATTGTATTTGATTTAAATTCCTATTAAGATTTAAGGTAATGAGACTGGTCTGTTCACTGTTTAAAAAAGGTGCATTATTAACATTGTGCTGGACAGTAACTAAGTGCATTTAGTACAAATGTAAAGGTACTTGTAGCTTCCTTACATTTTCATTTTCTACTATATTAAACATGTCAGAAAATGGTACTTTACTGCCTTTAGCTACCATGCAGATTAATATAAAATCTAATGTGAATCCCCAGGGGAATAATCACAAGACACCTGACAGCTCTTTCAAGTTAACTAGACATTTAAAGCTTAACACATTAATGCATCAGTAACTATAAACCCTATATTATATACATTATTATGAAAGGTGTCACTCTGCATGATGACTTTGCATTTAATAGTTAAAGCACATGATGACCTGTAGTTTAGTATCTTTTGAATGCAACAATATGTATCCACTGATCTCTCTGCATTAACACTGAGAAAGTGTTGCCCGTGTTACGGTGCTCTGCTGCAGAAACACATTCAATAATAACCTCGCAAAGTTTAACACAAGCTATCGTATCGGATTATATAAAAATGCATGTTATTTCGCAGCTTTACCACCTAGTTCTGAAGCCTCCTGTTGAGCTAAATCACCCACGTGGCGGAGCTAGCTGTGAGCTAACGAGCTAACGTGCACCTCAAACCACGTGGTTATAAATCCCCCCGACATGTAAACAACACCTCAGTGAAAACATGAAGTCCTCTCTCTGCTCCTACCTTCATCCTGCAGAGAAAACATGATGGAGTTTCTCAGTTTCTCTGTGAGGAAGAAGAGCTGCCTGCTCGTGGCGTTTCATTCAGGAAAGAGAGCTACATCCGGGTCCTTACGCCTTAAATGCGCCTCGCACATGCGCACTGGGTATCGGGACAGAAAGTACTTTAAAGTAAAAGTACTAACAGTAAAATTACTTTCTAACAACTATACATGTACAAGCATCAACATATACTTAAATAACAGAGTAAAAGTACTCTTTATGAACAATAATATATACATTAAAGTGTAGTATTTTAGTTATTGAGGCTTTATTTTATTTTTCTTTCTATTCTTGTTTATTTGGTAGTTTTGTTTAATTGTAAAATGCCTTGTCTATTATGCTGCTGTAACAAAAACAATTTCCCAATTTGGGATCAATAAAGTACTATCTATCTATCTATCTTAATGTGTGCAGCAGGTAGATGAAGTTCATTTAGGGTTTAACCTTAATTAAAGTGGACCTATCATGCTATATTATAATAATATAGTGTAGGACCATACCTATATAAGGCATATTTATACTTTTTCTTTTTCAAAATACCAAACAGATCATGCATTTTAGCCATGCCTCATTTTGCTCAATTTGAAAATGTTTAGCCCTGTTTTAGCAAGGGCAGATTCAGTGAGAACAGCACCATCTACAGGCCTGGCATATGTACTACAGCGTCTCCAGCACTTTCGAACGGCAATGGCCGTGGCTGTCTCCTCCTGATTGGTGGAGTTGGCCCAATAGCCGTAGCGCCACCGTCCTGACGTCAGGACAGTGTTCAAATCTGGATCAGTTTTTATCAGATCCGTTGCAGCCCCTTTTTTAGAGATTTGGGTATGGAGGAAAATAGAGAGGGTTGTGTTTTCTGACACTTGGTGAGTTCCCTGGAACACCGGGGACACATATTCATGTAGAAAAGACGTACACAAGTGCATTTTGCATGATAGGTCCCCTTTAACTAATTGAATAACCTGCAATAATGCATTTACCTTTTTGACTTATTTATGATTATATTCTGTATTAATAGTCCTAATAAAGGTAATAAAGTAGTACGATAAATGTATAGTGAGGGGAAAGTAATGAGATGTAATGCAGAAGTATAAAGTAGATAATGAAATACTCAAGTGAGGAATAAATATTTATATCGTCAGTAGCTTCATCATTTAGTTGACTCTCATATTAAAGGTAGAAGAATGTATTTAAACACCAGTTTTGTGAGGAAACATTTTAACCAGTATAGCACTTCAGGATCCAATGTTATCATGTTACAGTTTTAATCTACCATTTATTAATATTTATATATTATCTGTCACTATATAAATCACACACGTTATTTCTGCAGTATAAGCACATCATACTTTCCTTTAGTTGACCTTATATGTTATTGAACAAAAGAGCTCAAATGTCCTAATGACAGTTCAATCAGGAGAGATGGTCTTGATGAAAGAACACATATTTATTGCCAGGAATACACAAATGAATGTAATGGAGTTTTGGCGATTAGGCCCCGTTGTGCAGGAGTATCATTCGGGAGGGGAGAACCGATCCGATGAACCCCCCGGGGTCTAGACACTGGTGGTGGTGAATGGATAGTTGGGTTCGGTCTGAAGGGGAGTGGCTTAGCTTGACCCTGGTGGTGGTGAATGGATAGTTGGGGTCGGTCTGAAGGGGAGTGGCTTAGCTTGACCCTGGTGGTGGTGAATGGATAGTTGGGTTCGGTCTGAAGGGGAGTGGCTTAGCTTGACCCTGGTGGTGGTGAATGGATAGTTGGGGTCGGTCTGAAGGGGAGGGGCTTAGCTTGACCCTGCTGGTGGTGAATGGATAGTTGGGTTCGGTCTGAAGGGGAGTGGCTTAGCTTGACCCTGGTGGTGGTGAATGGATAGTTGGGGGTCGGTCTGAAGGGGAGGGCTTAGCTTGACCCTGGTGGTGGTGAATGGATAGTTGGGGTCGGTCTGAAGGGGAGTGGCTTAGCTTGACCCTGCTGGTGGTGAATGGATGGTTGGGTTCGGTCTGAAGGGGAGTGGCTTAGCTTGACCCTGGTGGGGGTGAATAGAGAACCGCAGTGATGCGTCCTAAAACCCGGAAGTAAACTCCTTCCGGTTCCTTCGTCAAAAACCAATGCAATTTCTCCATAGGATTTTGGAAAATAGCTGGAAATAAGGTCTGTGGTTGAGACACATTTAAGAGACGGATCACGTTTTGTTCAGCCGGATAATATCCACATGTACCCTACTTTTCTAATTTTCTAATCATAAATCTAGTCGCCAGAAGCAAAATGCTAACATTTTGCTATAAACGAACTACAGCAGGGTCGCTGCTTCAACGTCACGCCAACTTCAGATCCATATTCAAACACACAGATTCTAAATGGTACGAGTTGAAGCGTTTGTTTGAACAGTTTGCAGGAGGCAGGTACTTGCTTTCAAGCAGAACAGAAACAAACTTAGCGGGAGTGTTTACGTGTTCGGTGTAATGACGTAAAACGGCCTCGACAACTTCTATAGTCCTATTCAGCCACTTGGTAACAACCATCGTTTTTCAGACACGTAAACTCTTCAAAAATCACCAGCGGGGTCACTGCTGATGGATTTAATGTCGTAGAACAAAACGTGATCCGTCTCTTCCATGTGTCTCTCAGACCTTATTTCAGATATTTTCCTAAACCCTATGGAGAGATGCCATTGCTTTTTGTCAAAGGAACCGGACGTGGTAAAAATGCTAACTTCCTTCCGGGTTTTAGGACGCGTCACTGCGGTTCTCTATGGATGGTTGGGGTCGGTCTGAAGGGGAGTGGCTTAGCTTGACCCTGGTGGTGGTGAATGGATAGTTGGGTTCGGTCTGAAGGGGAGGGGCTTAGCTTGACCCTGGTGGTGGTGAATGGATAGTTGGGGTCGGTCTGAAGGGGAGTGGCTTAGCTTGACCCTGGTGGTGGTGAATGGGTAGTTGGGGTCGGTCTGAAGGGGAGTGGCTTAGCTTGACCCTGCTGGTGGTGAATGGATGGTTGGGGTCGGTCTGAAGGGGAGTGGCTTAGCTTGACCCTGGTGGTGGTGAATGGATAGTTGGGTTCGGTCTGAAGGGGAGTGGCTTAGCTTGACCCTGGTGGTGGTGAATGGATAGTTGGGGTCGGTCTGAAGGGGAGTGCCTTAGCTTGACCTTGGTGGTGGTGAATGGATAGTTGGGGTCGGTCTGAAGGGGAGTGGCTTAGCTTGACCCTGGTGGTGGTGAATGGATGGTTGGGGTCGGTCTGAAGGGGAGTGGCTTAGCTTGACCCTGGTGGTGGTGAATGGATAGTTGGGGTCGGTCTGAAGGGGAGTGGCTTAGCTTGACCTTGGTGGTGGTGAATGGATAGTTGGGGTCGGTCTGAAGGGGAGTGGCTTAGCTTGACCCTGGTGGTGGTGAATGGATAGTTGGGGTCGGTCTGAAGGGGAGTGGCTTAGGTTGACCTTGGTGGTGGTGAATGGATAGTTGGGGTCGGTCTGAAGGGGAGTGGCTTAGCTTGACCCTGGTGGTGGTGAATGGATAGTTGGGTTCGGTCTGAAGGGGAGTGGCTTAGCTTGACCCTGGTGGTGGTGAATGGATAGTTGGGTTCGGTCTGAAGGGGAGGGGCTTAGCTTGACCCTGGTGGTGGTGAATGGATAGTTGGGGTCGGTCTGAAGGGGAGTGGCTTAGCTTGACCCTGGTGGTGGTGAATGGATAGTTGGGGTCGGTCTGAAGGGGAGTGGCTTAGCTTGACCCTGGTGGTGGTGAATGGGTAGTTGGGGTCGGTCTGAAGGGGAGTGGCTTAGCTTGACCCTGCTGGTGGTGAATGGATGGTTGGGGTCGGTCTGAAGGGGAGTGGCTTAGCTTGACCCTGGTGGTGGTGAATGGATAGTTGGGTTCGGTCTGAAGGGGAGTGGCTTAGCTTGACCCTGGTGGTGGTGAATGGATAGTTGGGTTCGGTCTGAAGGGAAGTGGCTTAGCTTGACCCTGCTGGTGGTGAATGGATGGTTGGGGTCGGTCTGAAGGGGAGTGGCTTAGCTTGACCCTGGTGGTGGTGAATGGATAGTTGGGTTCAGTCTGAAGGGGAGTGGCTTAGCTTGACCCTGGTGGTGGTGAATGGATAGTTGGGTTCGGTCTGAAGGGGAGTGGCTTAGCTTGACCCTGCTGGTGGTGAATGGGTAGTTGGGGTCGGTCTGAAGGGGAGGGGCTTAGCTTGACCCTGGATTCAGAGGGACAGGAGGTGAGAAGGGGTGGAGGAGGGTTGCGTCGAGTCACCTGAAATGACAGCTGTCAGAGGGGAGAGCACTTTTAAAAGGGTTAGCAGAGCGCTATGATAGGCTTGTGAGAATAGAGCGAAGTGATTGGTTAAGCTGGGGAGTGACGCCCCCGATCACTGATTGAGAGGAGAGAGAGTGAATGAATGAGGAAAGACGGTCTTGAACTTGCGCTGAGCTTCATTTCTCTAATGTGCTTATCATGGTACATTTGGAGAGGCATAACATCATATTTAATCAAAGATATAGGTCATCATTGTTTGCTTTCTTAAACATCCGTAAACACAGCTGAATAAATACAAAATAATGTATAACATATAATATAGTTGAACCCCTCTGATGTGAAAACTATTATTTATTTAGTGAAATTAAACTTTGTGTTTTATGATGAAATCCCACATGTGTTTTAAGTGAGCCCCACAGCTGTATTTCATTTCATGTTTAAAACATGTTAAAGATATGATAAATAGAGCAATAATGATAATACTATGAAGCCTAATAAAAGGACTCTTTAATGTTCTGAGTTAGACCCGGAGCCTCGAGCTGTTTCTCTGCAGTCTTTATTCAGTCTTCACATTTCAGCGCTCACGTGGAGCGAGCCTCTCTTTGTGTCGCGCTGACAGAACACTTCACATGACAGATGTTTCGTTTCCACACACATGCATTTAGTGCAACTCTTCCATCTGAAGCATGACGCCCACTCTTTACCTCAAATTCCTGCAGAACATGTAGCTGCAGACACACAATAACAACAACAACAACAACACAGACACACACAATAACATCTATACAATAAAATAATATATTAATTTACAATGTCTTATAGTGGAGGTCCACAATCATGATGCTGCTGCATGCTCATATTTAAAATGCTTTAAAGGTCACCTATTATGCAAAATCCTCTTCTTCATCAACATGTGTCCCCTCTTCTTCATCAACATGTGTCCCCTCTTCTTCATCAACATGTGTCCCCTCTTCTTCATGTCTCTTCTACATCAACATGTGTCCCCTCTTCTTCATGTCTCTTCTTCATCAACATGTGTCCCCTCTTCTTCATGTCTCTTCTTCATCAACATGTGTCCCCTCTTCTTCATGTCTCTTCTACATCAACATGTGTCCCCTCTTCTTCATGTCTCTTCTTCATCAACATGTGTCCCCTCTTCTTCATCAACATGTGTCCCCTCTTCTTCATGTGGAGAACCCCCCCCCCCCCCCCTTATCACCTGAATCTCCTCCTAGAGCACCATTGAGTTCTTTGTAACCAAATGTCTCTCAGAGGGGCGTGGGGAGGGGCTCCTTATTTTCATCTAAAGTAACAGACAGAGAATCAGCACTTTGGAAACAGGGCTGAAACAGAGGGGATTATGGGTAATGCTGCAATGATCTGTTTGGTGTTTCAGCCAATCAGAGACAGGCTCTGGATATATCTGAGACCTGGGATATATTGATGAAGAAGAGGATGATAGGGGACCTTTAATAAAGATGGTGTTAGTCCTTGTTGCTGCGGGAGGTCGAGGGTTCTTGGTTCTCCGACTCTGAGGGGTTTCGGTTCAGGAACTGTCCGCTGGCGCCCACGTACAGTCTGGACCTCATGGGCCATTTCTGCAAAGACATTGAATTCCTCATTAAATAAAGCTCTTAAACAGCGTCAGAGAGGAGGGAGGCATCATGGGGTTAGACATTTAGTTTACAAAGACTAATAACCCAAGCTTTAAGGATCCTCTACACATCATAACATCAGGGTGCGTGCTCTGACCTCTACACATCATAACATCAGGGTGCGTGCTCTGACCTCTACACATCACAACATCAGGGTGCGTGCTCTGACCTCTACACATCATAACATCAGGGTGCGTGCTCTGACCTCTACACATCATAACATCAGGGTGCGTGCTCTGACCTCTACACATCACAACATCAGGGTGCGTGCTCTGACCTCTACACATCATAACATCAGGGTGCGTGCTCTGACCTCTACACATCATAACATCAGGGTGCGTGCTCTGACCTCTACACATCACAACATCAGGGTGCGTGCTCTGACCTCTACACATCACAACATCAGGGTGCGTGCTCTGACATGTCTGACAGCAATTATAAAGACTTGATAGGCTGCTTAACCACCACACTTAATGCAATACCGTCACCATCTCCACACATTTACACACTTTGAATGCACTTTACAAATGATCAACTATTTTGATATCAATATTCTTAACTCTGTATGATTGCTTATGTCGTGCCGTGTGTTTAATGTTACGCACGCCTAGTTGTTGCTCACTGGGACAGAGCTGCACTCTGAATCTCCTTTTTGTATAATGACAATAAAAGGCTTCAACTTGAATCCAGTGATTTTAAAGTGTGCTTTAGACTTGAACTAAAGCTCAGGGTCAGAGAGGAGGGAGGCTTCATGGTGCTTACAGCTATTATAAAGACTATAGGGTCTGTGCAGGGACACATTTAGTTTACAGAAGACTAATAATTGAACCTTTAGATAGACCCTCCCCTAAAGACAGGAGAACATGTTGCTCTGAAAGATCATCTTTGATGAAGCACGTGCTAAAGGCACCTCCTCCTGAGATGCTTAACGCTGAAACTAGACCCTTAGATGTGTGCTAAAAAGAGACATGTCCTTCATAGATAGATAATCCTGTGTTCACTGGAGCATCCTCTAGAGCATCACTGTAGCATCTGAGCATCACTGGAGCATCCTCTAAGCACATCACTGGAGCATCCTCTAGAGCACATCACTGGAGCATCCTCTAAAGCACATCACTGGAGCATCCTCTAGAGCACATCACTGGAGCATCCTCTAGAGCACATCACTGGAGCATCCTCTAGAGCACATCACTGGAGCATCCTCTAGAGCACATCACTGGAGCATCCTCTAGAGCACATCACTGGAGGCATCCTCTAGAGCACATCACTGGAGCATCCTCTAGAGCACATCACTGGAGCATCCTCTAGAAGCACATCACTTGGAGCATCCTAGTCTAGAGCACATCACTGGAGCATCCTCTAGAGCACATCACTGGAGCATCCTCTAGAGCACATCACTGGAGCATCCTCTAGAGCACATCACTGGAGCTCCTCTAGAGCACATCACTGGAGCATCCTCTAGAGCACATCACTGGAGCATCCTCTAGAGCAGGGGTTTTCAAAGTGTGGGAAGGTGAGCCTCCCCTCAGAGAACATAAGAACAGTCGCGCCCCCCCTCACAATTATTATTGCTATTATTATTATTATTATTGTTGTTGCTATAATGCAGGGTATTATTATCCAGTGGAATGCCCTTACCTACTGGCCTAGTTAAATCAAAGTGGTTACTTATTTTTGTCTGGGCAGTGTAGTTTTACACACCATCTTATTTGACTTTCTCAGGGCAGACCCCACAAAGAAAAAAATATATGTACACACGTAAGGTCATCATCTTAACAGTTTTTTATGCTCGAGTCATCCGTGAGCAGAGCATCAAGTTGGCATGCCTATTACAGCTGAATGCGGCGATTACCATCTTGTTCAGCAAAACGCCTCACAAAATATTAAGATCCAAAGCTTTAGTGCGTTTTGATTCAATGCTGAGTACAGCCACACTTGACAGTCTCTTCTCTGTCATTGTAGACCGCAAATACCTTATTCCTTCCGTGTACTTGGGTCCGAATGCTTCTCGTTTTCTGCCGCCCGTTCAATTGAAATCGCCGCCAATCACATTTCCTCGCTCGCGCCAGGGTTACAAGGCTCGCGTCTTGTGCTGCATTCACTTGCCCTCGGACATCAGGGATTTTCTCTGATAAATGTCCGATGAGCCACAACTTTTATTTCAAAACAAAGCTGCCAACTGGGGTGGCCAGACGCTGTCTCCTCTCTCACTTTAGATAACTTCACTAAAAATCGATCCATGTTGCCGCTCGCATAAAGTTAGCTGAAGTTAACGAGCTAGATTTCACTGTTTCTCTTTATTTTTTTCTCACGCTGCGCCTCCCTGAAGCTCTCTGGCGCCCCCCCAGGGGAGGCGCGCCTCACACTTTGAAAACCGCTGCTCTAGAGCACATCACTGGAGCATCCTCTAAAGCACATCACTGGAGCATCCTCTAGAGCAGGGGTTTTCAAAGTGTGGGAAGGTGAGCCTCCCCTCAGAGAACATAAGAACAGCGGCGCCCCCCCTCCCAATTATTATTGCTATTATTATTATTATTGTTGTTGTTGCTATAATGCAGGGGTATTCAATTGCATTTCAAAGAGGTCCAGTAAGAGAAAATGAAGACTGTTTCTCTCCTCTTGTCTCGTCTCTGTGTGTGTGTTTGAATCTATCGTGCTGACTCACTGAGTGCACCGATATGATTGGCTGAGTAGCATCACCTCCTTAAAACATTAAACAATAACTTTTTAAAACATTTTTATCTTTATGTTTTAAACATGTTGTATAAAACTCCCCCACTACTTGGACTATTCCTTGCACCCCTCTAGAATAAGCCCGAATGGTCTCAACTTATAACAAGATCGCAAGGACACTGGTAGCGATCGGACAATTGAGTGTTGTTCAGTGTGTTGTGGAACATGCGTGTGCGTGCATGAAAATATACCACACACCCAATTACAATAGCATGTTCAATTCACTACCATGGAAGTTAATAAAGTTGTTAAAGTTGGAACAGCCTGTGGACAGCCGTTCTTCCTTGCATGTCAGTCGCCGACACCTTCTTACAGAGGACAGGCAAATCTAGCTGCAGCACGACCCGTATATTTTCGCACGGTGTTCTCAACACATATATTTTTTTTTAAATTTACATTTTCAACATCGTGGATACATCCTTATATGCTCCCGGCAACACACTGAACGTCAACTTTGCCTCCTTATTACACTCATCCCTACTTTAGTGGGAACAATGAGTCTGCGTCTTTGATGCACACAGGAATAAACGCAGATCATCCTCTGGCTGCAGCCTTCACCGGCACTTGCTTTTGATCAAAGTCAATGCGGAAAACCTGCACTCACACAGGTAGGTGGAGGTGAAGGGAATGAGCACTTTTACAGCCTTTTTGGCGAGGTGGGGGAACTCGGTCTCCACAGACAGCCAAAAGTGTGCAAGTGTCACTTTACTCGTCTTTTTCTCGTTGTTCTTTTTCTCAAGCTGCGCCTCCCCTGAAGCTCTCTGGCGCCCCCCAGGGGAGGCGCGCCTCACACTTTGAAAACCGCTGCTCTAGAGCACATCACTGGAGCATCCTCTAGAGCACATCACTGGAGCATCCTCTAGAGCACATCACTGGAGCATCCTCTAGAGCACATCACTGGAGCATCCTCTAGAGCACATCACTGGAGCATCCTCTAGAGCACATCACTGGAGCATCCTCTAAAGCACATCACTGGAGCATCCTCTAGAGCACATCACTGGAGCATCCTCTAGAGCACATCACTGGAGCATCCTCTAGAGCACATCACTGGAGCATCCTCTAGAGCACATCACTGGAGCATCCTCTAGAGCACATCACTGGAGCATCCTCTAGAGCACATCACTGGAGCATCCTCTAGAGCACATCACTGGAGCATCCTCTAGAGCACATCACTGGAGCATCCTCTAGAGCACATCACTGGAGCATCCTCTAGAGCACATCACTGGAGCATCCTCTAAAGCACATGGGCCAAATCAGGCCCTTGGTGGATTTAATTTCGGCCCGCAGGATAATTCTTAATTACTATTAGATCTGGTCCTCCGGCACGCACACCTTCTCTCCATCCTGAGGGTCTCCTCCGCTCAGAGCCTGACTCCATCCTGAGGGTCTCCTCTGCTCAGAGCCTGAGCCCAAACTGAGGGTCTCCTCAGCTCAGAGCCTGACCCCAAACTGAGGGTCTCCTCCGCTCAGAGCCTGAGCCCAAACTGAGGGTCTCCTCAGCTCAGAGCCTGAGCCCAAACTGAGGGTCTCCTCCGCTCAGAGCCTGAGCCCAAACTGAGGGTCTCCTCAGCTCAGAGCCTGAGCCCAAACTGAGGGTCTCCTCCGCTCAGAGCCTGAGCCCAAACTGAGGGTCTCCTCCGCTCAGAGCCTGAGCCCAAACTGAGGGTCTCCTCAGCTCAGAGCCTGACCCCAAACTGAGGGTCTCCTCCGCTCAGAGCCTGAGCCCAAACTGAGGGTCTCCTCAGCTCAGAGCCTGAGCCCAAACTGAGGGTCTCCTCCGCTCAGAGCCTGAGCCAAACTGAGGGTCTCCTCCGCTCAGAGCCTGAGCCCAAACTGAGGGTCTCCTCCGCTCAGAGCCTGAGCCCAAACTGAGGGTCTCCTCAGCTCAGAGCCTGAGCCCAAACTGAGGTCTCCTCCGCTCAGAGCCTGAGCCCAAACTGAGGGTCTCCTCCGCTCAGAGCCTGAGCCCAAACTGAGGGTCTCCTCCGCTCAGAGCCTGAGCCCAAACTGAGGGTCTCCTCAGCTCAGAGCCTGAGCCCAAACTGAGGGTCTCCTCAGCTCAGAGCCTGAGCCCAACTGAGGGTCTCCTCAGCTCAGAGCCTGAGCCCAAACTGAGGGTCTCCTCAGCTCAGAGCCTGAGCCCAAACTGAGGGTCTCCTCCGCTCAGAGCCTGAGCCCAAACTGAGGGTCTCCTCAGCTCAGAGCCTGAG